GGACTCATGGGGCGAAGCTTGGACTGATGCGATGATCAGCTCAAATCAGAACTCCTTACGCCTTTTTGTAGCAAGTCAACCCTACGACATGACGTCAGTTACCGGACAAACTCCCAGGGCTGATCCTATATGTGTTTACGGGTACAAAATGTGGACCCTAATCTTGTGAGGCCACCTAAACACGCACGAAAACATGTATATACACATATATATATATACATATTTGATTTGTTTTTCACTTGGGTCCCTCAGGCCTTCTTCAAGACACATACCGCGCACTAGCGTCGGCTTAAGGACACCTCTGTGGATCCACAGGTTTGTATGGGTAGCTTTTGCGGTTCTGTTTGGTGCTTAGGGTTTAGGGATGNNGGATGTAGGGTTTAGGGTTGAGGGGTTTGGGGTTTAGGGTTTGGGGTTTAGGGCCCCTTGTTACGGTATCTGTTTCAGAAGACCTGCGACTGCGACATGACAGGGCTAAAAACCCATTCATCGTATGAGCTATAGTCTAAACTCCTTAAAGGGGGTTAGGGTTTCGGGTCTAAACTCGTCAAAGGGGGGGCTATATATGGGATTATATAGGGGAGTATCGTAGGGGTTATGAAGGAGGATACCAGGTGTGTAGACTATAGCTCATAGGGTTGGTTGTCAATATCCCTGCCTTCATTGGCTACCTTAAGCATTTAAGGCTGCGCTACAAGTGGGAGCCCTAAAAAACGAGCATGCTATGATGTCGGCAACCCATGTTCACCTCCTAGACTTTAGGGTTTAGGGTTTAGGGTTTAGGGTCTTGTTCTTGTTGCTGCTTTCTGCAGGTGCTCTAAGAGTAGATAGAACATTGTGGACTTTGGGGACCGTGTTAAAGGCAATGTTCCAAGCATGTGTGAGTTTTCTTTTCAGGGAAGTTGAACTTTAACCATTTCAGAGCTTGATAGCGTGTAATACTACGGTATAACATCCTGCACCACCTTAAGTCCCTCAGATCAAGGTGTTCGCAGTGGCTTAGCCTAATGAACTCTGAGCCCTAAACCCTAATGAGCCGTGTATTTTCTAGTTGCCCTTGAGCATTCTCCTATCCGTTGGCAATAAACCCTACGGTTGACATTAGAAATCCAGCATGACCCTGAGTACCTGATACCCTGAGAGTTTTGGTATGAGAGCGGCAGGACTTCTAGCATTACCAATATGTATATATCTTCCTTCAAGCGCAACAAAATGTCATTGTCTGTTGGTGGCGCGAGTGTTTTGTTGAGGGCAGGTGATTACGCAACACCTCATCCAAAAAATATCCCAAGTCTCCAAACTAAACACATTTTCGGTTACATTGCAGCCTTGGGGACACATGGGCTGTAAGCTTTGCTTTTGTTTCGAGAGGCTGTCATCGAGCTGCTCAAGGACAGCTCTCGTCCTTGCCGGATGTTCCATCCACTACCCTCCCACCAACACGTAGCCCCCGTATGGCCCCGTTTCTAAAAGAAGACTACAGGGCCGTTGTGGGGGGGTTCCATGTCCATTGGTGGTGTGGTAAGCTAAGACAAGATGTTGAGGCCTAGATCGCAGTTCCTCCAATCGCAAATTCTAAAGTTGCTTTGTATTGCCGCTATATCTCTGGGGCCGCCTGAGCGGCGGCGCTGTTTTGAGGCAACATCCAAGTCCTGAGTCTTATACCCCGAACCTTCACCCCCGAGCCACTAAGCCCCCAAACCCTAACCCTTCCCCTAAGGGTCCAAGTACCTTATAATCATATACTTACCCAAAACCAATACTACAATTACTATCACCCAAAACCCAAGCACCTAATTATTGGGTACATGGACCCTTTGGGTTCTAAACCGACCTAGGACCACCCGAGTCTTACAAGTCAAGAAGCAGAGCAATGGCAGGTTCTTAGCACCCAAAACGTTTAGGGTTTAGGGTTTAGGAAACCCATTAACTTACCTAATTCTAGTATTCCCTCTATATTTTCCAATAGTGAGACCCTACACCCTCAGTAGTCATTTCCGTTTGCTTTTCTATTGCCTTGTCTACCCCACCTTCAATTCCCAAATATATATATATATGTAGTAGTTCCCATTTTCTTTTCCATTCCCCTATATAATCCACCCCCAATACTATGATAGTTTCCATTTTCTTTGTTCTCTGTTACTCTATTTCCCTTGTACTCTGTGGCCCTCCGTATTGCTTCAAGAGTTTATTAGTTCAACGCTACATCCGCATGCTATATTACCGTGCCATTATATGAGTATGCTGCTATACTACCTAAACCCTAAACCCTAAAGTAGCGACACATAGTTCCAACCTTGGATTATGTGCCCTACTCCCGAAGCCCTAAACCTTACTGCGTTGCTGTTAAGGAAATCAAATCACGTCATTTATTGCGGAAACTATGTTAATTACTATATATACCCTATTTGGTAATTTAATCCAATCTCCTTAACAGCAACGCAGTAAAGCGAAGGAGAAGGGTGTTGCACGACTCCATTCCACAAAGGACGAAGAGTTGCGTCAAGGAGCCTTTGCGCGCTGTCTGGGGTCTGTCGCCCCCCTTCAGTAGATAGAATATAGCGTTTAGGGTTTAGGGTTATAGTCCCCCCTAAGTAGGTACAATATGGGGTGTATGGGGGTTTCATTATGTTATTAGGCAATTCCATATTCTATTTACTTTGGGGGGACGATAGGGTTTTGAAATTTGGGTCTAGAATTTAGGGCCAGGGCTTAAGGGTTCAGGGTTTAGGGTTAAGGGTCTAGGGTTACCCCTAAAAGATTTCCCCAGTATAGCCCTTATGTAGCCGTTATATGGGCCAGTGTAGTCCCCTAAAGTCCATTACAAGGATCCCAAAACCCGGGGTACAACCCTAGGGGTACAAGCCTGAAACCCTTGATACAATGTAAAAGGCCTACAGCCGCAGGGATTAGGGTTTACAGTTGAGGGATTTGGGTGTAGGGTTTAGGGACTAGGTTTTAGGGATATTATCTCCCCCGAGTATCGGAGAATCAACTGATGAAGATGGAACATGAAACGGAAAGAGGGATTATGTGGTAGTTTATTGGGATTCTGTTTCAGCTCCCCTCAGGATTTGCTTCTGTTTTTATGGTAGCACAACCCCACGGAAGTATGAAACAACAGTTTCTGTCTACAATGATTACAGGTATGTGAGGTAAGAGGTCCAGGTAAGCTGAACCTTAAGCCTTTTTGCCATGACGTACTGGGGCTTTCAAGGGGAGGGAGACCCGATAGGTTTAGGGTTTAGGGTTCCTTCAGTAGTACCTGTGGTCACTGTATTCACCCAGCCACCCAGCCACCCAGCCACCCAGCCACCCACCCACCCACACCGTCCGTCAAGCACGGGCAGGATGATTCTCAACAAATGTGACCAGGCCAAACCGTTCCATTCGCATCTTGGGTTTAGGGTTTGGGGCAACGTCATGCACAAAACTGTGTCATAACTTAGCACTGTATGCCATAGTCATCGTACCACACTGCATTTCTATGCGTATAAACACGATAAGGGCAATCTGGCTACCCCAACATACTGAGGACTCGACCAGGACAACCCGACATGTACAGTGTCCGAACTTTGGTTGGGGTCAAAACCCTAAGCTCCAAACCCTAACCCCTAAATTGGGCATCCTATATAACCCCCATATAACCCCAATGTAACCCTAATATTACCCCAATATAACCCCCCTTAACCCTAAACTCTGTTGACCAAAGCCTTAAGCCTGGAAAACCCCCAGGCCCGCA